TGTCTGTCTGTCTGTCTGTCTGTCTGTCTGTCTGTCTGTCTGTCTGTCTGTCTGTCTGTCTGTCTCTGTCTGTCTGTCTGTCTGTCTGTCTCTGTCTGTCTCTCTCTCTCTCTCTCTCTCGGCCTTCTTCTCTCTTAGAACGCTTAACACGCAGGAGTCGCTTTCGAAGCGGCGGGTGAATGCCCGCCGGAAAAGAGACAAAACTGTTTTCTTCCGCTGGTGGAAAAAACGCAGAGCCTGTCCTGGTGCTGCTGCTACGGCTGCGGTTGCTTTGACACGGCCTATGCGTACATGCATACATACATATATACGTACATACCACACACACATAAATGAGTACCTGCGTGACGACGAAGAAGACGAAGCGGCTCTGCAGGTGATCTCCCTCGTTGAGCGCGAACAGTATGTCGGAGCACTCCCTCATCAAAGCCACCTCAGGCGGAGACCTTCCCGCGGCGCGCTCGAACAGGTCCAGTAGCTCTTGTTCCAAGAAGTCGCTGTAGGCCTGTGATGTTGGGACGGGGGCGTACAAGCTGGCTGCTGTGACGTCACGATTACTCTTCCACAGCAACGCAACTGCAGGCTACGGTCCGTGGCAAGGCCCAGCAGCGGCCGCCACACCGGCAGTGCAAGAGTACCGCCGAAACAAACAGAAACAGTAACAACAACAAAACGACAGCAGTGACACAGACCTGCAAGTTTTTCGCCGCCTTGTCGAGCTCCTTGGACTCCAGCTCGTGCGTGATGCTCTTCAGCTTCGCCAACACCTGCATCCGGGAAACAAAAACACATAGGTAATTACCAACCACGGACAAAGGACAGAAACCAAGAGGATAAAGCACGTCAATATCATCATCATGAGCCCCACAATAGAGGCGCGTAGCAGAGACGACGTTTCATGCGTGTTCGATAATATTACAGCCCCATTTTTGGCCTGGCGGAGAATAGGGGCACCGAAACAGTTAGACCCGCTCATCGAAATGTTTCACATCCCACTCCCTAGGAAAGCGACAGCCTGATATGGTCGTGGTTCTGCCAGATACAACTAGAAATTTATCAGCACCGCCATACAAACTATCAGGACCGCCATTCAAACTACTCTTCGGTCCGGCCATGAAACAGCCCACGGCCGCGGGAGACGGGGTTGTCCAAAATACCATTCACAAAATATATTGATACAATACCTTACATCCCACCACGTAGGCCTCAATCTCTCGCACAAATCGACAAGCCACATCCCTCAAAATTACCACAGATAGCGTACTCATCTCCCGGACGTCGACCTTCGTCCGAGACCCTATCGGAGAGGCACGAATTTGACTGTATGCTCGCGAGTGCTTTCACGTGGGAAAAAACTTCCCCACAAATCGACTGACAAAAACAAACAGGTTGTCCCTTCTTTTGCCTCCTATACCCCCCCCCCCCCTACCCCGCCGACCCCCGCCGCCGTCCATGCATTACAAAACCCCTACGCGCTCAGCCCTGGCTTCGAAGAGACGCGAGGCATAGTCTACTGGCAGCGACCCACACATGCAGACTAGATACACGACGAGTATTTCATTGTTTCCCGCTACTATAAGCCCTCGAAAAGCGGCGGGGGCAAAGCAAACCACTTCTTACCGTCGCGGCTTCTGCTCTTCTGTCTTCGTCGCAGAACACTGGGGGCAAGAGCTTCATGTACCGCACCACGGTGTCCTGATCCTCGGAAAATCCCTCCGGAAGGCCCTCGAAAACCTGCAATGCCGGAGTACTTCTCGTCTTGACTCTCTGTTGTTATTGGTGTTGCTGCAGTCTTGACGCCAAATTATGCCATTTCTTTCTCCGATCTCTACCCGTTGCCTCTACATACTCCATGGCCATCGGCAAACCCAGGCGTATGGCAAACACCGAGCGGACAACTCTACGTTACACACCCAACCGATTCACAGGCACAGCCTCCCCCACGTCGTACAGTGAAAACTGTTCACCGCTGAACGTTAACCTCTTTGCACCTCCCTCGCTCGCGCTCATGCTGTAGTATCTGTGATCATCTCTGTCCTTGTCGCTCTCTATCTCTATCTCTGTCTCTTTCGCCATCTCGTCCTCTAAAGCTGTCTCTCTGTGCTCACGTCCCCGGGAATAGGTGCGCTTGAGCAGCCGCAACAAAACATTCTTCCGGACAAACCGCACCTTGAAGAACTCTAGGATATCCATAGCCTCCGCCGCCCTCGCCCGCTGCCCCTCCATCTTCGACAGCCGGTCGCCGATGCGAACGGCCTTGTGGGCCGTCTCGCGAAACCTGTGCTCCACCCCTTCCAAAGAATCTTGTACCTGCACGTTTGAGACCGAGATTTGGAAATCGATGCACTAGCGTGGTACACACAGAAGAGAATGTTTTTCTAAGCTTTCTGGTAACGGTATGATAATGACTGCGGCCATGGCACCGACAGCTATAGCGATATATGGGTGAGGTATGGTGACGGGAAGTCATTGTGACCACAACAACCAAATGGTTATTGCTACGCATGCTGTGGATGGCTGGGCCAGTATAGACGAGAAAGGGGCTTTCATGCCTCAAGAGAAGCCCCTCCGCAATTGCACGCAACCAGATCCATTTTCGTCTCTCTGAAGCGGGAGGGGGCTTCAATCGTTGGTTGGGTGTGAAAGCATTCATTTAGTTCCCAAGGAGGAAAACGCACTAATAGAATTTCCCCATCACAACCAACAAGAAACCCATTCTCTCTAGAGCGATTTCGTTGCCTACAAGTTGCAGGGCGGGGTGTCATATCCTCAAGGGGTACAGGAATCTCTCGGGGACAGAACCGGCGGCAGCAAACGCATCGAACTATAATGAATCATCAAATAATCCACACCCCAGGACCTACGACGAACCTTGTTCAGTCTGGTGGCGTGGGATGTCAATCCCTGTCGGTAGTCCTCCTCGATTGCCCCTGTCTCCCCCGCCATCGCGAGCCTCTTCCTCTCCCCCTCAACCCCCATTTCCTAAACAATCGTAAACAAACGAAACATGGTTGGTGCAGAGACTTTCGTGGAACATGCGGACGCGGCAAACAAGCTCATATCAAAGAGGGCAGCAGAACGCGCTAGGCGTTCGGTGCCAGTAGAACAAAATGGCGAAAGGAGCAGGTGGAAACGCAGTCGCATCCGTTTGGCGAGATCGAAACATGCGATAAAAAGGACGGCCTCAAGCCCTAACGACACACGAGCGTGTACCGCGCTAGCTGCACAAACTATCACTACCTAAGGTTCGAGAACAAAACGAGGGGGGAGAAGACTGCACGAAAGTGAAGAGGAGTGTCACCTGTAACAGGTTTCCGGTGGTGGTGAATAGCTTGTTAAGGGCGTGAGGGTCCAAAGCTACGATACCGTCGCCGGAGTCCTCGATGTACGGAGCGGTCAAGATTTCCACAAGCTTGGCGCGGTCAAACTTGTCGGGATCGCTATCCTGTGAATAGGTTGGTTGGTTCCGGCGATGAAAGCGTGGCACGGCACGCAGCAACGGCCGAAGCAACGACAGCAGCATGCAACAACATTCAACAACGTAATGACGAGGACGCGACGAACAGAACAACAGGAAATATTGCGTGACACGCGCATGCGTCAAGATTTGCGCACGAGGGGGGGAGTAAGGCGTAGGTCTGGCATGCATCCCATACATCGCCCCCGCTATTGCTCTCTGTGTCCTTCGTTTTCTCCACACACAAAGGGCATCCAGCAGCAGCACCACCACCAGCAGTAGCAGGATTGCTTCACATAGTCGGCCGCTCGGACGGAGAATTAAACGTCTTCCTACCACGCATCGTTGCGTTTCCTTGCTATCATAGTGGCCTTCGACGGAAGCACGTTGCTGTGTGTTCCTATGCATGTATACACACGTTGATCATGGAGGCGAAGGCACTGTCGAGCACGAGCTGCTTCGCCTTCCGGTCTAGTCCGTCGCTGTCGTCCTGCCAGGGCCACACGATACGGCACGAAGCGAGAGAGCAGCACAACAGCAACGCGAGAACGGCGGGATGGATGCTTACTGCCACCACGCAAACCTACGACGAAAGGTTGAGAGCGAGAGATAGAGATAGAGACAGAGAGAGGGCGCGGGGGCGGGGAGACGCTAATACCTTGGCATATGCATTCGCACATGCTTGAAACACGTGGCAGTTAGCGTTGGCTAATTGTACATGTCACGCAGGAGTACACCTGTAGCTCGGCATCTGCTCAGTATCTGTGACCGGACGAAAGAACGTGGAACTATACAGATGTTTTTGTACTTAGCACCAGCTGGCATCACTGGTATAAATCATCAGTGTTGGACTTAAATGACTCGAAATAAGTCCAGTACCCAGCCGGTTTCCATTCACTGAAAAGACTCCACCACATCCCGTTCGACTGTGGGTATATCTCGAATGGGTAGTCTTTCTGTGTGTGTTTTTGTTATTCCTTAACTAAATACCAAAACTGGATCGGCCAGGCTGAATCTTAAACACCAAGTACGGCAATGCGGCTGTCCTCGTTTTCCCGCACCTACCGGTATCGGCACAGCCTACGATACAAGCCTGTAACGAAATAACGCAGGCTGCGCTCGGCATTGTGGGTGACATTTAGCGTGTTTTTGGTTGTGGTAAGCAGCTTCAAGGCTGGGCATTGGGGGCTGCCGCATGAATACGTACCGCAGCACCTTCCCTGTGTGACAACGACAAAAGTGTAGACAAAACGCTGTTGTTGTATGGGAGCCAGGGTCTTCGTGGTCTCCAACACTGCGCGAGTACCATTGTAAAACTACAAGTACACCAACACAATACACCAATAGGATTCCAACTAGAGCGTGCGTGTGCATCCAATATGTCACCAGGGTTGGTCTTTTGGACGCAGTTGCACGGTCACAGAAGACGTCAGCACTGCTGGCAGCTCCACTTCTCGAAGGAAGAACATCCGATTGTTCCGGGACCTGCTTCACCGTTTCTCTACATACATAACTCGCCGCCTTAGTTTGACTCGGCAACCTACGTCTACATGCACTTGCATAGGAAGTTTGCGCCATGCCCTCTCACTTGCTCTTCATCCATTCCTTCCGGGATACTAATTTCCTGCAAGCGGCTTGTTGAAGGCTTCCCTCGACCAGCTGCTGACCCTCTGCCACCTCCGGATGACCTTCTGATACTGCTGCTGCCGCTGCTGCTGCTGCTAGTCCCGAACGGTGACCGCGAGAGGGGTGCATCGCCCTGTCGAGACAACGAAGGCAACTTACCTCGGGTCTGCGACCCACGAATGCCCGACATGATGTACTCAAAAGGCCCTGCTGTGGACAGACACCGGCTGCAGTGCTGTCAACACACGCGACGACACGACGCGCAGCCCGAGCCAGCAGCAGCAGCAGACACACACAGCAGAGAGCGGCACGCGCAAGGGTGGTGTCCCCATGGAGCACTATTATCATACTGCGGAGCCCCCTTGGTTGGTTTCGCCGCCGGCTCTGATGTGATGCTGAGCTTCCAAGCAAGTCTTCAGTGTCTAGGACAGTGGTTGGTTGGCGTCGAAGTGGTGAAAGTCCTTCATAACACCACACTGCATCCCCTCACGGCGAATGTCTATCCAGCTTGACGGCAATGTGACCTACCCCTCCCAGCTGAGGAATGGCGCTCCCACATCTGCACCTTCAGCGGCTCCTCAAGCGACGACGGACGAGGCAGCCGCCAAAGCCGCCGCGGACGGAGCCGCCGCTTCCTCCCGTATCGGCTGGGACGGGTTCTGGCATTACTCCAAGCAGAAGTCGAAGGCTGGAGGTCCGGAGCTGTCAGCGTTCAAATACTCGTTCGTTGGTCCTCTTGAGAGTGAGAAACCTCTCGGCGCGGAACCCGCGGCAGGGGCACCAGCAACAACAGCAGCAGCGGAAGCACCGGCTCCAGCGCCGTCGGCAGGCAGCGGCGGGGGCGCGAGTGGCATCAGCACCACACAAGGAGCTGAGAAAACGGGCGGCGGCGTAACAACGGCGTCGTCGTCGTCGTCGTCGTCACTACCAGCAGCTGTGTCTCCCACTCCGCCCGCCGAATCCTCAAATGCCGCCGCCGCTGGCGGTGAGGCAGGGACGTCCGAGCCGCAAACATCATCACCGCTGCTGCTGTACGGTCCCGAGGGGGACGGCAGGCTACCCTCGGGCAACTGGGCGGGTTACTTCATCGTGAACTACGGCCGAGGTGTCGAGGTCAAGGTAGAAGAGACTTTCGTCCTCGATTTCGGCTCCAAGTCCCCTCGAAGTCCTACTCCGCCACCGGCGGCGGCGGCACCAGTCGTGGCGGCAGCCACCGCGGGGGCTAATGCCACAAGTGCGGCTGGCACTGCTGGGGCAACTCCCGTCGGCGCCAACAGTCAGCAACTTTCGGCCCAAGCTGTAGAAGCTGCAGCCGGAGCGCCGGATGTAGCAAGTAGAGCGGCGGAGGTCGGCGGGAATCAGGCCGCTCCGGTAGGAGCAGCAGCCGCAGTACCACCTGCACCACCCCAGGTAGACCCGGCCTCAACAGCACAACCACCGCCTACGGCAGTACCTTCAGCCGCTGCTGCTGCTACTGCTGCTGCTACTACTACTGCTGATGCTGCTGCAGTGGTGCCGCCGGTGATTCAAGGCTCGGCACCCCCACCGGTGCAGGTTCAGATCGCCCCCGTGGTTCGAGTGAGCGGCCGGGGGCAAAACAAGTACGGCGAGTTCACCCTGACTGGCGGTCACGAGCGGGCCACGGGGCGGCTTGACCTGACCCGCTTCTACTACGAGAAGCCCAAGGAGAGATCCACGGTGGCCTCCACGCGCGGAGAGAGATCAAGCAGAGGCGTTTCGCACCAGAAGAAGAGACGGCCGCCGCCGCTGGGGGCCCCGCCACCCCAGCCGCCCGGTCCGTCCCTCGCCGAGCGCCGGACGAAGCGCACCCGATGCCCGAACCAGCGCCTGGTGGACGAACAGAAAAATTCGCACGGTGGTCAGCAGTCCGAATTGGCTGGAACCAGCGGCGGCGGCAGTGGCGGCGGCGGCAGCGGCGGCGGCGGCGGCGGGGGTTCTGGGTCAAGCAGGCGAAAGAGCTCAAGCGCCGATGTCACCAGCTTGTCGATATCAGTCAGCGGGAGCGGTTCCGGGGCAGCTGACACCCTTTCCACTGGAGGATCCACCCCCAAGTCGCGCAAGCCTCGGGACCGAGAGCGCGACCTGTACATGGAGCAGAGGCGGCGGGAGAAGAGGAAGGCCGAAGACGCGGCGGCGGCGGCTGGGAAGGCGAGCGCGGCTGCCGCAAGCAGTGAAGCCGTGGTCCCTCCGGAGAGGCTGGCGGCGGAACTCGCGGCGAGGGCCCAGGCCGGGCGAGAGGTGCTTGCTGTGATCGGCAACGCTAGCGATGATCCGGTGGAGAAGGTGAGAAAAAGGTGGTCGGTGATTGGTGCCTTGCGGCCGCTCGGCATGTTCTGCCGGCGGTACAAGTTTACCCAGGGTTTGGGATTTTGGCTACTGGTTTGGGTCGAAACAATTTTGTGGGCATGTACCAGTTGCCAAGTGCTGCCGATAGTACGAGGAATACACTCGGGTAACACGCACGAGCTCCCTCGTTGCTTGGTTTGTTTGTTTTCGTGACCAGAGAGTTCCAGAATGCTTGATCCGCCGGATTAAAAGTCGTGGTCGCTGGCGGTTTTCATCGGCATTGCGTGAATCTCTAAGCTCTCCCGTTCTAAACCCACCGGAAGAGTGTCTTGTTGACCTATCAGATGTTTGGTCCGTGTGCTCCACCTCCGTGAGCTGCATGCTGTGCGTGATGTTCTATTCGTAAGGTGTGGTACTGTTGGGGCCTTTCTCCAGCAAGGCTATGGCTTGGTCGTGTAGTTGAGCCGCCTGGTGGAGCTGTCATTCCGATGGATTTCCACATGCCAGCCTTATACGTGTACGACAGCGACAGATCAGCAATGGGGGCTTCGGTTTCATTCAAGCGTGTGGCAATCGCTCACAATTTGTTCCCCTTCAAGGTGCCGGTCGTTACGACTGGCATCCGCTCTGTTCCCAATGGCAGCCAGCATATCGGTTAACCGGGACCTCCCGATCCCGTTTGCTCCTTTCGGTTCGAAACGCGTCGCGTCTTTCAAACACGCAGGAGGCATTCGCGCACATGGAGTTGGAACAAGCCAACCTGGAGGCGGAGGCGGCGGCGGCGGCGATGGCCGCGGCAGAAGCGACGGCTACGGGGGCCCAAGCCGTGGAGAAGGCATCGGCGGAAAACGGAGGCTCGGGGAACGGCGGGGCTAGCGGCGGTTCTGGCGGCCGAGCAGGGCGCACCCCGGGGCGCTCGAGACGCCACTCGGCGGAGCGGTGGGAGGAGCTCACGCTAGACAGAGAGACGGGCGAGTACTACGAGGGCGGGTGGTATCGCGGGCGGCGGCACGGCAAGGGGCTCTGCGTGTACGCCAACAAGCGGATGTACGAGGGGGACTGGCGGGCGGGCAAGGAGCACGGCGTGGGCAGGATCCTGGGGCCCGACCGGGAGGTGATATACGAGGGGGACTTCGCGGACGGGAAGTTCTGCGGCAAGGGGCGGTACACCGACGGGGCCGGCGTGGTGTACGACGGCGAGTGGAAGGACAGCGCCATGCACGGGCGCGGGGTCTACACGTTCCCCGTGTGCCCGGCCTCGATGACCGCGGCCGCTGTCGCTGCGTCAGCGGCAGCGGCGGCGGCGGCGAACGCCGCCGCCAAGAGCGGCGACGCCGCTATCTCCGCGGGTCCGTTCGCGTTCGGCACAATGTTTTACGACGGCGAGTTCAAGGACAACGCGCGCAGCGGCCGGGGCTTGCTGATCTGGCCCGGCGGGAGCTACGACGGCGAGTGGCTGGACGACGCCAAGCACGGGCGCGGCGTCTTCCGGACCGACGACGGCTTCGTGTACGACGGGCAGTGGGCGAACGACCTCGCGGAGGGCCGCGGCATGTGCATCCACCCGGACGGCCAGCGGTACGAGGGGGTCTTCCGCGGTGGGAAGAAGGAGGGGCGCGGCACGCTGGCGTTTGCGAACGGCGCCTCCTATGAGGGCCGCTTCCGAGACGATGCCATAGACGGGCAGGGGATGCTGCAGATCCCCAGGCCCGTGGAGGACGACATGGGCGGCTGGATGATCCCCATCCAGTTCCAGTCGGACATCGAGCGCATCCACGTTAAGGCGGGCTTTGACAAGGGCGGGCTTTGACGGGGGCGCCGCGTGGTGAAGGTGGGGGCGGGGACGGAGAGGATCGTGTCTGCGGCCGAGCGATGTACTCCGTGTTGGTTTGGTGTAATTTGTACCGCTGGCTTGAGTTGTGGGTAAGATTTGGCGAATAGGCAGAACTGCATTTGGCGGCATGTGCCGTGTACTGCTGGGGGTTGTCGTGATGTTTAGAGTTGTATTGGTGTGACATCGACGTGGTAAGGCACTTTCGTAGTAGGAGGTTTCGTGGTGACTCGCGGGGCCCCGGTGCTTGCGGGGCTGAGGCAGCGTCGAGTGAACCCTGTAATATTGTCGTGTATACCGTGAATACCTCTCTCGTCTCGTGTTGCCTTAGCTTGTAGGTTGTTTTTGGGGGCATCTTGAGGCAACTGGTTGGCATTGGGTCATTATCAGATATCGCGTCGTCGCTGGCTTGAGAGAAACTGCTGTTTGTAAATGCTTGTTTTTGCGGGGCACCGTGGGACCGCCTCGGCAGTTTGTGGTCTTCCCGATAGCGAACTCATCGAGGTTGAGGCTCGGATTTTTGGTGGTTGGAAAATATCTGTATGCAAGATATGTGTAGACTTTAGAGTGCGCTTCTTGTGTGTGCTGTTTTGTTTGTGTGACTTCTCGCTGGAAAACTTGCCGTTTTCCTTTCCAACAATACGTGGACAGAGAGAAGGATATGGAAGTGCGCTTGAATCGGGAGGCGCGCCCGGGCATACCGAAGGCATCGCCTCCAGGAAGCTATGTTCGTATATCCCGTCCATTTTGTGAGGCGTGCCACCCCCACACACACCCACAACGCTGTAGTACCCACAACGACAGCATTGTGTGTTGAGCTCCCACCTGCTGATGTGACTTCTGGACGCTTTTTTCTGAGCCATATTCACCGGCCAATCAAGAGCATTTCTACATAGCACATGGAGACGGTGCTTCGATGTTACACCTCGGGCATACTAGCTATTGTGAGTGGAAGAGCAGCAGTCTTCTTGGCCCATGAGGGAAACATCCATCATGTGGTCCTTGAGCCCTTCACTCATTTCCAAGAAATCTTGGAATCCTAGGAGACATCCTGCTCCTGCCGGCATCGAATTTCCAGCTGCCACGTGGCCTTGGTCGACAGCGTGTCTGAACGCCTTTTCGCAGCGCCAGCGCCAGGCTCGCTTCATGGGGAAGACTTTCCCGGCGTCGCGAACGATGGCCGCCGCCGACTCAAGCGTTATCAAGCCGTGAATTGCGCCGCCGCAAACGGAGTGGAGATTGAAAGCTCGTCTGGCGCCGCCTTCCTTGTCGCTCTCAGGGAAGAGCCACGGCAGAGGATGATCGCTGTCGTGTTGAGGGTGGGCACTGTCAGCAGCTGGGTTGTCGGCCGTACCAATATGTTGGCAATAACTTTCTACATTCCTCTTGCCTGGTTCTTCTTCTTCTCTGAATCCCTTCTCTAGTCGAGACGCTTCTCTCCCTCCTCTATCTCGTCGCGCTCCGACGTATCTCACACTTCGACCCGTGCTGTTGATGTTGTCCCCCTTTGCCATCCTCCCATTATTATCGCATTTTACCCTCGATGAAGGCAACAATCGTCCTCCCTCCATAGCCGTGGCATACATTTGAATGAAAACACCGAAGTCTATGATGCCTCGGACGAGACCCACCACCCGCTTCAGAAGTCGAAACCAACTGCTCCAAGAGGCGATTCGCCGCGATTCATGCTTCTGCTGAGGGAGCATGGGCGGCGACGAACTCTCCGCCGCCGTTGTCGTTTGTAAGGAGACTGGCGGGCCGACCCTGGCGTGCCACGGTGCCACTCCAAGAAGATCGAGCTGCGGGTGTGATCGAGGGGGTCAGGTTACTTGGGTCAGGTCGAATATGCCGAATCACAATCATCATCATCAGTCGACCGAAGGAAACGTGGTGATGCTAAACAGGGGCGAGCGGCAGATACAGCGCTGACCGCTATTTGGTACTTATGAGCTTAGCGAGGGACTACCCCACATCGCCGTTCACAAGCGAACAGGATAAAAAGTCACGCGCCCTTTCCCCTTGGTTTGATTGTATGATCCCATGGCTGGCTTCAAGCCATAGCAACAGTGTAGTTTTATTCCATACCTGCACCACCCTCGCCGTTCCCACGAACACACAGGGCCCCCCATCGTCGAGTGCATCAAAACTGAACGATATGCCATACTCACGGTCTCCTTTTCTCTTTGTCGGTTGCTGGCGAACGCCCCATCCGCGTATACTCTCGCGAGCAGTGAGACTACTTCGGCGCGCCCACTCTTTCTCGGTGCGTTGGCGTACTGGTTGCTGATCCGGTCGAATGCTAAGGTCACGTCCTCCACGGAAGCTAATCTGACGCGTCGATGATGCCACCGTCGTTGATGTGCAGCGACAGCATTTCGCGTCAGCTGAAGCTGCCCACTGAATCGTTCGCAAGGGGTGCCATGGCGGCAGCGCAGCACTTCAGGTGTACGTAGACCAATGCTGGTCCGTCCCGAAGTATGTTGCAGGACATGTGGTTCTGGTCGCGTGTGTACAAAAGCATTCGAAAGTTACCCCCCAAGCAGCAGATGCCAAGACTTTGGGACACCACTCACGTTGATTTCCTGCATTCCTCCTCCCCGGTCTTTCTATCCCGCCAGTGCTTGTTTTGCCGTCCCGCCTGCCGCCGGTGCTGTCTCCAGGTAACTGGTTCGTGCCAGCGTCCGTTTTCCGTCGAGCTACAGGAGCCTTCCGAGGAAGACGAAGCGTCTTGTTTTGCCTCGTCAGATGATGTTGCAGACCCTCCACTCTCCTTCTTTTCCTCCTGCTCACGTTTTTTCTCTTCTTCGTTGTAAGGCTCCTTGCTTCTTCTTCTTCTTCTTCTTCTTCTTCTTGTCCCCGCGCCTTTGCGTCTGCCGATGGCGGACACCCGCCGCCCGGCAAAAAATTCTTCGTAGAGTTCGGCGACGCCGGGAACATGAAGCCCGTCGGTCTCGGCCCTCTCAATCACCTCGAGAGCGACTTCAACTGCAGCAACACGCGAACTTGATGGCGGAGGGGCTATCGCTAACCCCATGAACCGTGGGGACTTGGGGCACCCTTCGGCTGGCCTCAGAACAGCTCCACCATCGTCTCCGCGATCCACAACCGGTTTCATGCCAACTACTTGAATCGAAGTGAGCTGGCCCTCATGCGTGTACGGACGGGGTTTACCAAACCGGCGCCGAAGAAGAGACGCCGTCGGCCTGTCACAACGTACAACCATTCTGGACTGCTCTGCTCTTGCTGTGTCGCGACGAAAGAGGAGCTTGGCCCCAGGCGCAACACCGATCGCTCTCGCGAGGTTGCACGGCGACACGATCTGCTCCATCGAGCTCGAGATTCGAATGTTGACGTCGAACATACTGGTAAACATTTCGCCACGCACCGACTTAGATGTGCGACAGGCTTAACTGCGCTCTACTTGCATATATCTACCTCATAACAAGTCCGTAGACACGCCACAGGTCGCTTATTTGGCGCCACGATCTCGGCCCATATTGCTCGATCAGCAATATTTTCGCAGTCGTTTCATTTTTGAATTCAAAAAAACAGTTGGTTGGCGTTATTGGGGGCTCCGCGGATGATACATAGAGGGTTAGGGGGGGAGACCGCCACATACACAACAGCGCCACACACACACACACAGCAGCACACAGGCGCAACCCAAACCTTGCTGTGCTCACACGCAGGGGTAGCCGAGGGTGGAGGGAAAGGGAGGAACAAGGATATATAGTCGGCCTTCAGGCGTGGTGTGTACTGGTGGTTTGTTAGCGCTGCATCTACACACACCATGCAGCACGCAACGCCAGTGTCTGACATGGATGTTTCTGGCGCGGAACAAGACATCGGCTCGATCATTGCCAACAGCAGCAGCAAGGGGGATGCGGCTGCCGGTGCTGCCGAGCTGGGTTACCAGGGCTGGGCCGCGCGGCACCTGGTCCTGGCCTTCCATCGGATATTCGCGGAACAGAGCGAACGGGCGCAGTGGGGCGATACCGGGGACCTCGTGTCGGAATCCCTCGAACACCGCGGCGTGATCTTCTGGTGCCTCACGCACATCAACTCAAACTCGGACGTTGCATCCGCCGCGCCTACGGAGGCTGACCGCCGGGACGAGGACGTCTTCCACGACGGGCTGACCGACTTCTACCACGTCTGGACCCTCGCGGAGGCCTTCCTGCTCGACTCCATCCCGCTGCCGGCGGCGCCCTTGCTCCGCTGGCTCAAGATGTACAGCCTGTCGGGCGAGGACGAGGCGGCGCGATCGGAGCTGGACGAGACCGAGCGGGTGGCGCTAGAGGCCGACGCCGCCGGGGGCTCGGCCGACCCGAACCCGGCCTACTGGGACGCTCTCCGCTCACTCGTGGTGGGCGTGGCGCCGAGGCGGGCGGCGGAGTTGCTGCGGAGCCACCCGGAGGGCCGCGACAACGCGAGCGAGGTCGGCGCCCTGGCCCGCCAGCTGGAGAATATGCCGTTGCTGCTTCGCGAGGGCGGGGGCGGCGCCGGTGAGGACGGCGGGGACGACGGTGGTGGAGCCGAGGCACACCTGGACCGGGAGGGTTTCTTCGAGACGTGGACGCGCTGGCAGAAGGGCTGCAAGGCGGCGGCGGGGAGGTTTGGTGTTGTGGTGGGTGTTGGTGACGACCGAGGAGGAGGGGACGTCGGCCCCGAGCGGCGGCAGCTGCGCTGGCTGTGGGGTGTGCTGTGCGGCGAGAGGGGCTGCTTGGTCGAAGCCACGAACACGTGGTCGGGTTTTTTCGCCGCCGTCTTGGCGTACGAGAGGCCGGACACGCGGAAGGAGGAGGTGGCGTCGGTGATGAGGGAGTGCACGAGGGTGTACAGCGAACACCAGGAGGAAGCGTTTCTGACAAAGGTGGGCCGGGAGGCGGGGGCAGGTTTTGCCTGTGCCCTTCATGTTGTTGTTGTCTTCACACCGTTCCGGTATCCACTCACAATACCTTCTAATGTCCGTACTGGTCCAACTGACTATGTACAGGGGATTCCTGTTGCACATGTTTTACGTTACACCTCGAGCTTGTTTTGGCTCTCCGATTTTCAGACTCAGGGTGTGGCCGGGAAAAGAGGAAGTTTTCGCGTGGTGCAGACTACTGTGCATTGTCGAACAATGAGCCGTTTTTTCTTCCGGGTGGGACAGACGTTACACGAGCCCTCACGGGAACGGTGCAACAGAGAGTTTCGAAGAACGGCACCCATCCTCCCGTTTGTTTGCATGTTTTTGGAATTTCACTTTTGTCCTGCAGTGCAGTGGATCGGCAGACGTTCGATGAGCCCACATATTTTCTCCAAATCACTCGTGTGACCATCCCCTCTCCTTGGTCTCATGGAGTCAACCGCAACAATGAAACGGCGGTGCTTGTTGTTCGGGAGTGCTCTACAATAACATTTTTCCCGAAGCCACGAGTTCTGCGTATACCCATTTTTAGGGTGTGGGCGTGTGTACTGCGTTTCCACGCTCGCGGGCTCCTGTCGAGAGCGTTTTGCACAAAGGAGTGACTCACGTTCCTTGTATTGACGTCTGTCTGTCATACCCATGCCTATCACATCTGCGTAACCCCCTCGGAGATCTCGGAGATCTGTATCCTGCCGAGTACACACACAAACAACCTAAGCCCTGGTGTATTCGGTGTGCTTCACCGATCTTTAATTTGTTATTAAAGTCCCGTTCACGGCTGCCCTACCCTCTTGCGCGTTGCGCGTCGCCAGGTAATCAGGGACGCCTCGGCCGGCGCCGTGGACTCGATCCTCAAGTTCGCCCGCGACCACGGAGACACGCTCGCGCTCTCCGTCTGCGCCACCCACCTGGTCGACGTGCTGTCGAGGGCCAAGTTCACGGCGGTCACGCACCAGCAGCGCTCGTGGTTCTTCCGGCGGCTCGCCGACCGCCTTAGGGCCTCCCCCTGCGGCTTCTGGGAGCTCGCGGCGACGTACCTGAGCGGCGGGAGCAGCCGCGACGGCGGCGACGACGAAGACGACGAGGCCGGTCTGCTCCGAGAGCTCGCGCTCGGGGTCGTGCCGGAGTCGGAGAGAGCGACCCACGAGCTCGTGGAGTGGTGCCGCGCTCGAGGCCTGGGGGAGGAGGTGGAGGCGGCCGTGTGCCGCGCGAGGGGGGCCGCGTGGATAGCAAAGACGGGGTTGTCGGCGGTGGCGATGGGCACGGCCGTGGCGGCGGCGGAGGGGGAAACGAGCAGCGACGGCGCACGCGTACCGGGGGCGTGCGGGAAGGCGGCGTACTGGCTGGCGAAGGGCGGCGGGTGGGTCCAGCTCGAGAGGCTCTGCGCGGAGGTGTCGGAGCGGCTGATGGTGGAGGTCTATTCGGGGGTCGGCAGCGCTGCGGACGTTCAGGTGGGGGGGCGCATTCCGAACCAATGGGAGTTGGAAGTTGGCGGGTAGCTCGAGAGGTAATTTGTGTTTGGGAGTCCGCTCTTTGTGTGGCAAGAGAGGCACAAGCGAGGGGAATCATGGCGGGAACTGGGTTGAATGTGGATCGCCGGCACTTGGACCTGGCGTGTCCAAGCTTCGCAAACAGCGGTGCTCATGCTGCACTTCTATTTTTGATGGAACCATGTGCGCATCTATTGATAATGTATCGGCGTTGTGTTCTTGAAGCGGTGGCCGCATTTTCCGATGTCTACAATTGTTTCGTGGCCTGAACGAATGGCCCTTCATCACCAAGTCCACAAATATGAGTCTAGATTGTGCAGATTATCGAGAATTAGGCGTTGACGGATGCGCGTGCCTCATGGGACGTGCCACACGCAACCGCTGAGCGTGCTCACCCGGACCGGCGGAAACTGTTGTATTCTTGGTCCCTCGACAAGACAATCGTGTGTCCCTCACATCACCAACGGTTCTCCCTGTATTTCGTGTGCGCCGCATTTCTCCGAGACGCTTCCCTCCTTGCTTTTCTTCGCAACAAGAAGCTATTTTTTTTTATCAGATGAACGCAACGCACTTAAACCTTTGCCTGAAAATCTACTGCTGTTTTGTGTTTGGTATCCCCCACGCTCCTCTCCTTGGTTTTCTTCGCAACATCAAACTAGTTTTTTTAGCAGAGTAACGCAACGCACGCAAGCCTAAGCTACTGCTGCCTCTGTGTCTTCTATCCCCTGCGACTTTCGCTGCTGGTCTCGATCCCTTTCCGGAACAGCAGGCTCAGCAAGTCGTTCTCGCCGAGGCGGACGGTGTCCTCGCCGCGGTCCCTCCGGGCGTGAACGGGCCGGAGCTTTCCTTCCTGGGACGCTACAAAGAAATCGCGGATCTCCTCTCGGCCGAGGCGGCGGGGCAACCACCACCCCCGCATGCCTCGGGCATCGGGAGTAGCTCGCCAGCCGCGGTGGGTCCCGGGGCCCGCCTGGCCGGCGCCCTCGCGGTGGACATGCTTGCCCCCCGTGGCAGCTGCGACGGCGATGCCCCGGTCGCCGGAGGTAGCGAGGCCCTTTCGACCCCGACGCCACCGCCCAGGACATGGGCCCACCTGCTTAGGCTGTCCGTCCCAGCGCTTATAGCGGCGACTGACGCTGCTGCTGCTGCTGCTGCTGCTGCTGCTGCGGGGGGGTCGGCAGCGGGCGCTGACGAGGGAGAAGAAGCATCTGCTGGTGTGACCGTGGCGCAGGTGCACGCCCTGCTGGCCAAGCTGCAGGCCCTGGTGGCGAGCGAGCACCGCGTGGGGAGCGTGCGCGGGGTGTGGAACCGTTCCAGAGGGGGTCCTGGCTGTGGTGGCGGCACCTTGGCTACTGCGCCCGCGCCGTACGGGTTTTGCAGCGGCGGTGGGAGCGGTGTGGAGCAAGTGTCGGAGATTCGCCGGGCCCTGGCCGGATGTTTGGGCGCCGCCATGATGGCTCAGAATGCGGCGGAGGCTGCGCCTGAGGCTGTCGGGAGTGGCAGGCGGCGGGGTGGTCGGGGCGACTTTACGTTGTTGGGGACTAGGAGATTACCCGCGGAAGCGCTGGTCGATCCTCGAGTGGCTGTATGATCTTGTTCCAAGTGAGTTTTTGCCGCAGAAGAAGCGCACGGACTGCTGTTTTTCCCCCTGTTGTTGTTGTGGCCGACCTGAACTGATATTCCGCCATGATGGGGCACCTGGGTAGCTTGGAGAGGTGGGGAGTGATGGTTTGTTGAAAGGTACAAAGTTGACTTCCAAGTGCCTCGTGCGGTCCTGCGTAGAGCAACATGTCGTAGATACACGTGCTGGAAGGCGCGTGGTGGTTGGTCATTCATCCTTCGGCGAAGCCTGCCTGTTCGGCAACGAGCTTGGCTATTGCAGTTTGCGTGCCCGTGATGTGTTGTTTGTAGCCGTGAGTTGGTGAACTGCCTCTATTTGATTATGGTTCTCGGGGAGGGGTGTGCCCGTGTGCGTGGGGATTTTTGGCGCTGGTGCTGCGAAGATGGCTGGACACTGCTCCACACTTGACGGTTGTTTGTCGCGTTGGCGAGCCGGTGTAGCAGCAGCCATAGTAGAAGAAGGTTGTTTGATGGCCATCGCACGGCGGCAACAGAACGAGAGCTGTTCCCGCCTCTGGTTGCATCCAACTATTAATACATGGATGGGTGACAGCTGTTGCCACAGCAGTTGTGCTTGTGTGGTTGTGCCGTCGGAGTGATGTCTGCGAGGAATGTCCCTCCTTTTTGGCACCCCGAAACGAACGGCGGTGTGGTCGGTGTGACGGGGCGCATCTATGGCACGAAGTTTTTTAAAGTTCAAGTCGGATCATGTTGCTCTCCACTAACCTTGTCTCAGAAACGATCCATCTATGCAACCCAGTCGTGTGGTCAATCAACCGAACGAACGAACGAACGAACGGCCTTGGTGGTGTGCTGATTGGGTGTGTCGGCGTTGCCTCACAACCTCCATCATCATCTGCATTGTGTGCATAGTTTGAGCATGGCATGTCACAACAAAAGGTTGGTCGTGCAAGAGCTTTCGACTGTGGTTATATCTCGAACGAGTCTTTCCGTGTTTTTGTACGTATTTTTCCTAGAGCTTTGGATGGTACCGTAAGGTTGCGAGTCAGCGCACAGGGGTGATCACTGTCGAAAAGGGCCGTTTTGGAAACATCTCATCGAGAGCTTTCCTGAGAAGTATCAGTTGGCGCTCGCACCCTCCTGGTTGTGGAGCAATTACGCTTTGAAAATCGATCGCGCCTGTGCGCTGACTCGCACCTTTAGGTACGTCCCCAAAACTGAACCAAAACACAACCCATCAACATAAATGGACTACGGTTGGTATTTTTTGCACAGCAGGGTTGCAGACGCACAGCATTTCTATTGCTCGGTCTCGGCGTTGGTAGCATGTCATTTAAACCATATCATCTGCCGAGGAACAGCAGCTGTTTATTTTTTCAAGGAAGAGCGGTCTTCTTGGTATGCGTTAGACTCGCTCTCATTACTGTGTGGTATCATGTCTTCGACGGTAGTGACAGTTGTGACGTAATGAGCCGGCAGCACGTAAGTACTTGACTTCAAAAGAATGTTTTTCTCTACCTCTTTGTCCGAAACATTACATAACACAAGATATTCAATACTTCATCAACATTGCATTGTCGCATCCACGTCCTGTGTACTCTTATACAACCGCCGTGCTGCTGCGTATGGCCCAACACCTACTAACTGCGTGTATACCAGTTATCGTGCACTCTCTATCTTCCTTTGTACTTAATTGAGAGCGGTTGGAACTTGAGACAACGCATGTAATGTGCATAGCAACGGCGGTGCTGCAATAAGCATCTGTCTTTGCGCTGCGTGACTATGTACTTACTGTTAAGCGACACCAAGATATGGAACGACGGGCGGCGCGGTGGCCTTGATGCAGGGCATATGGCAAGTAAAATTCATGAACCTTGGCGTCGTCAGATGGACTAGATATCGTCGGACATAATTGACATTTTCATTTCGACATTTTCACTTTTTCGCTCTCTTTTCGAGAAGAAGCACTTCTGTCTTTGCGTTGCATTTGCGTGGGAGGAGAGAGCACTGCTGTCCCCATTCGCCCTCGAACACATACCGCGCAGACGCCATTGTTGTACAAGCATTAGACACGGATATCAGAACACAACAGGGTGAAGCACTGAACGCCGGCTTGACTCTGCAGAGAGCTAGGGGCTCTGGGGAAGAGAGCGGAATACAAAGGTGTGTGTGTCTGGTGACGCTGCTGCGTTGGAGATATCGTATGACCCACTCTCCAACAATGTGGGCGCACCGCAGCTCCGTCGCCCGTAAGCTAAAATGCGCGGGGCTGGTTTGTGCCCTCTGTCCGAGCCATGACGAGTCGACCGTCCTGACTCTACTTATCGTGTACCACTGGTGTCACTAGAGAGGAGGCCAGCGCCGCCCCACCGCCGCTGCACGGACAAATAAATGTTTGATCGTTCATGTTATGTTGCACTCACCGCTCCTGTCACCTGTGTCATCTCCGAGAGGGTAGATACGATACAGCCATAAGAAGCACAGCTGGATGCTTTGCTTGGCAGGTAGAGAGGATGTCACATCTCGACCCCACGGACTACCTCTTAGACCTGGACTGTAGGACACCGCGGTCCTCTCCCTCTCTCCTTCTGCCTCCCACATCTCTGGCCCTCCTACTCTCTCGACGACACAAACGACAAAGTGTCTGCTGCTGCTGCTGCTGCTGCTGCTGCTGGTGCTGCTGCTGACGAACGCAACACACGCACTTCCAGGCTGTACGGACCTTCAACCAACCCTTGTTTTTGCTGTGACTTTTGTTGATCCCACAACACCTCACATATCCTTTCTCTCTACCTCTCTCTCAGATAAGCCACGACCATGTTACGTAATCTGGCCACGGTGGGCGGCGGCGGCGTGCGCCGGCCGCTGCCGGGCAGCAGCAAGAGCAGGAGCACGGTGCTCCTGGCGTCTCGACAATCCTCGCGGGCGGCCAAGGCGAAGGCGGAGGACGAGGCGGCGAGGGCGGCGAGGCTGCCAAATCGGAGGGGCGGCAGACCCCTCGCGGGGCCGCGGACGCTGCCCACGAAGCGCGTGGGACTGTACGACCCGGCGCTGGAGAAGGACTCCTGCGGCGTGGGCCTGGCCGTGCAGATGAAGAGCGTTGCGTCTCGACAGGTAGGTGTCGATGCGTGGAAGTTTTTTTTTTGTCGCTCGATCTGGCGTTCTGTTTGGGACCCCAGTACCCAAGGGACGCAGGGACAAGCGTGTTTCCAGCACGAAAGCTGCTGACGAGAGCCTGCTGGTACACGGCAGTACTCCGTCATTTGGTGCTGGAGGGAAGTGGTTTTATTTTGTCGGCGTGCTGCAGCACAGCAAATGTTACGTGGAACCCATCCATTCCCGGGTGCGGTGCTTGTTGCGTCAGCAGAGTCATTTTTCGCTCCTCCCGCCGCACATGAGCCTGACTGAACCTTCTCTCGTGTACTGCAACTGCAGGCGGCATGAACCCTGTGTATGTGTAGCACATGTATGTAGACGCCCTCTCCTTTCCCTTTCGTGCTCTGCGGGCCATACCTCGTCGATGAGAAGCAATCGAGAGCTCTGCGACGCCGCAATTTTTATTGGATAGCACCCAGAATCGTATCTACACAGAGAGAAGCAGCGGACGAAGAGCAAGCCTGGTCGTACTGCTGTAGGAAAAATACAGCAAGAAAGTAGTGTAGGGACAGCAACCCGCGCAGACACAGCAGCATCCTGCGGGTGGGATGGAGATTCAGCAGTAGTTTCGTCCCTACTCAACCATCCACCTCCTGCTCAGCAAAAGGAAATAAATTAGCGTCACTTTTGAGGAGGAGGTATTCGACCCCCTCTGACCTTTTGGCGATGCATGTCGTGTATCATACAGCAGTTTCGTGTCGGGATGTCGACAAGAATGGACGTACAACGCCTCAAGCAGAACGCTACAACAGCAAGAGTACACGTCGCATCGAACACGGGAAACGCGGGAAAAGTACCATGGTACTTCCCGTACGTAAATACACCCAAGTCCGAACGAACGAACGAACGAACGATTATTTATTGTTGTTGAAGAGTATTATTGTGTCAAAAAGTACATCGTCAGTGTTCTTTCCGGCGGCGGGGTGTTTCCAATTCCACCACCGCAGATGATTCGCGGCAATTAGTTTCGTTCCTCGCCGGGTCCGCGAAATGTTATTTTTCCGTACGAAGCACAACGTCTCCAGTTCGAAAAGAAAAGCTGTCGGTGCTGTTGTGTTCTAACAAACCCAAAGAAGTGGTAAGAAATTCCTGTGTGCAGGACAACTTTTTTTTGACCGCCGTAGTGGAGACATGCGTCGTGGAAATTGCGAAACGCCGGCGGCAACGTCATGAAGCTGAAGGTCCTTACGAGAACGGACACGGTTCCACAAGCGAAGCGACGCCTTTGGAATTGGTTGGGTTGTTTCCGCGCCTTTGTGGATGAAGTTTTACCTTGTGCGCTCTCACCATTCTCAATTTGCTTGTGTGCTCACGCGCGCACCATCCGGATTTCGACTTCCTTCGGGTTGCGCGTTTTGTTGAACTCCCTCTGACAACGACGTTTTGCAGTTGGCCCAGGCGGTTACAACGTGCGCTGAAGGAACCATTCCTCTTTTGTTTTGGCGCAACTTTCGCTCCCTGTTTGATCGTGGAGGGAATCCAACGGGGAATGGAAACTACTACTAATAATAGAGCATGAAGATGAGTCCTGCTAATCCGCCATCTACGTGTAGAGAGGCCTGTAGAACTTTGCACCGCGCTTGTCCAGCCGGCGAATTTTTTAGAAAGACGACGGCTGTTCGCGTGCGCCCTGTGGTCAACCCCGGCGGCACCGCCGCCCCCGAACAGAAGATGTATGTAGTTAGTTTTGATGTGTTAATTCATCTCTTGTCATGGCGGGTGGGCGATGTTGTTTATGAGACCGCCCGTGCTTCGCGTGCCGGCGAGTGTTCAGTGCACCAACAGTTTCTCAATTTGGTACAGTACAGTATGTTTAATGCGTGGCCTTGGACCTCGAGACACAACCGGTCGCGTCGGCGTTTGTGCGCCTGTGTGCTACGCAGACGCCTCCGAGCCTTGTGGGTATTCTACCGATGGCAAGAATAACTTCGACCGCGCTAGCCAACAAACCGTTCGATGAGCGATGGTGGACCCTGGCATCGGTTTCTCTCTTGTGTGTCTTCTCTGTCTGTCTCTTGTCTCTTACCTCTCTCTCTATCTCTCTCTCTATCTCTATCTCTATCTCTATTTCTCTCTCTCTCTCTCTCCCCGTCTCTCTCTGCAGATCGTCGTCGACGCGAACGAGATGCTCGTGCGCATGACCCACCGGGGGGCCTGCGGCTGCGAGGAGAACACGGGGGACGGCGCGGGCATCCTGGTGGCCGTGCCGGACGGCTTCCTCCGGAAGGCGGCCCAAGAGGCCGGGATCGGGGAGCTCCCGCCGGAGGGGGAGTACGCGGTCGGGAACATCTTCGTGCCCAAGTTCGAGAACGCGATCCCGGAGGCGAAGGCTATCGTTGAGCGCGTCTGCAAGCAGCGCGGCATGAAGGTACGTTGTGCAGGGACATGCGGTGCCCACCTCACGCTCATCTCGCGGTGAAGAGTGTTTATTCTAGTTTTTTTTTTTTTTTTGGTGCGCTCTTGCTTTCTTCCTCATGCGACTGATTCCGGTGGTCTGCCCCTATGCGTATGTCCCTTCATCCAGCTACGTTTTGTATCCACTGAGTACTGGTGCATGGATTGATGTTTGGACCTCAGCGTCGTGAGAAGCGAGAGTGGGCGGATGATGGGAAACGATGGGTGACAATGCTTGAACAACTAAATGAAAAGCCGAAAGAAAACGCGCTGTTGCTGCGGCTGAGGCTGAGCCTGCCGCTGCGCAAGCACGGGGAACCCTGAACAACAGTAATTCTGTGTCGATATTTATGGGTACTCATGTTAGTTACATGAACAACAGCGGTATAGTAGCATGGGTTCTGGTTCAAGTAACATCTGTGTGTTGAGGGCACAGACAGGGCATGCAGACCCGACCGTTACGGGGGGCTGGCTTCCCTCGTTGTCTGCAATCAGGAAAAGGCAAAAAATGGTCAGATAGCACACAAGGGTATGAAATTGGCGACGTTACTTTGTTTGCTGGCCTTGGTCGATACGGGGTACACTACACACCGCCGTTTGTTGTGACCCACCTGCCGATGGCACTCGTGTTCCACTCCGAAGACTCAAACCATGCACTACCCTGCTTTCTCCGAAGGCGTGCGTGTGTGTGTATGTCCGGGTGGTGAAGTATCCTCCTTTGTTCGTCGTTTCATGAACAACGGCGGCGCTTCGGAATGGAGACGTGTGGGATCAATTTTACGAGGTTCGCCTCTGGACACTGCTGTTGCTCCATAACCGAACGGGTGAAACACTTACAACTCTCTGCGAGAGAGCGCTTCTCAGTGCTTTTGCAATCTTGTGTGCACTCAGCCGCAAGCTGTCCTTTCGGTTGGACTTTCAACATCAACATATGGACACAACTGTGCATGTACGTCGGTGTCCTTTTCTGCGAGCGTTCAGGCGCACCTTAGACTACCCGCCACGACATGACACACCGAGCCCAAGCCCAGTAGCGGACTGCAAATTTTGCCATTGCTCCGCTGTAGTGAGGATTGGGAGAAAACCACCGCCTCCCTTGAGTACAAATACTCTCCCGTTTATGACGATTTTGTCTCTTTTGAAAGCATGAAAACCCGTAGAATCATTTTGCTGTCTTCCCACGAACCACTCACTCTACCAGGTGGTCGGGTGGAGAGACGTGCCCTACGACAACTCGATGATCGGAGACACGGCCAAGGGCACGGAGCCCCACGTGGTCCAGGTCTTCGTCGAGAACTCGAACGGGAGGCCTAGCTGGGACTTCGAGCGCGAGCTCTACCGCGTCCGCAAGGTGGGTTTGTGTTTGTAAGGGGACGGGCGGCCGCACCGGAGTCACCCGCCACCCCTCTTACCGTGTTCGTCTGATCTAGAGCATTGGTGGGTCCGGTTTAGGATCATGCCCTGAATGACGGCCACAAGAATCTAGCAGAGTACTATTTATCGGCCGGTATACCGGCAATAGCGACATGCCTGACGCTAAGGCATGTCGCGAAAACCGGGCCCACCACTTATTTAACCTAGAAACACAGCAAGGAAGGGTTGAAACCGAAAGACGTAGCGTAGGTTGTGGTGTTTTTGGCGTTCCTCGATCACGTTGAGGCATCTAGATGGGGAGAATTAAGTACCGTGTGCGAGATGCTTTCTGTGTTTGATTATGTATGCATGGGTACAGTGTGACCACCAGTAGCAAATCACGTACACGCACCGACCTAGCCCGTCCAGAGGCATTTCCTTTTCGGCCCGTCGTAACGACGTCGGGGCTGTTATTTCTTTCCTTCTTAGCATCAACGTGTTTCTCCCCCTTTGGTTTTTTGGCCCCCCAACCCTGCCGTAGTGATCCCATTGTCTTGTTTTTAATTTTTTGGAATTTGTTCTTGTTTCGTTTTATTTGCAGGCGGCCACCAAGGAGGCCGACTCCGTCCCAGTGTTGACGGTTTCGGACACGCAGAGCTTCTACGTGTGCAGCCTCAGCGCTAAGACCATCACCTACAAGGGACAGCTGTCGCCCGAGCAGGTGGGCTGAGAGAATTATGTTGTTGTTTGTCTATAAATTTAGAGTTAGAATTTCAGAAATCAGGGAAAACGTTTTCTGCGCTCTCTACTGCACTCTCTTTTCGGCAGGTTGCGTGTGAAAGAATGGTTTTCGCTTCGCGCGTCTCCTGCAGGCTGGGTCGTGCTCGTCGTTTTTTTTGGCAGGCAACCCACCCACATGGGTGTTGTCTTAAATATCGCGTCATGTTGGCAAGAAGAGTGCTGTTCGGACCTGTGTAAGATTTCATGTCGGTTTTCTGTCTTGGTCCGTTCTTGGTGACTTGATCTCTTTTCCCTTGGTGGATGCGTCTTCTACCCGCACAACCAAAACACATGCATATGCGGTTGTGCTTCATTGGACACAACCCACCCCAAGTGCATATTTATCGGTGTTCAATGTTTCTCTTATGAGTGTCTTTGTCCGGTGTTTTCGCTCTTCTTTTTGTCTTAATTTTGACAACTGCACACATAGGTCATGCCCTACTACTTGGACCTTCAGCAGCCGGACTTCACGTCCCATCTGGCCCTGGTGCACTCGCGCTTCTCCACCAACACCTTCCCCTCGTGGTAGGTTCCGTTCTGGGGTGGACAACCCTACAAAAGGACGGGAACGAGCAGTGAAAAGCAAGAAGGCGCATCATTCGCTCCGCAACACGTTTCTTTGTATTTGGTAACGGCCTTACCACAAGAGTAGGCGTACATCCGCAACGCCCTCCCTAGCGGTAAACAATGTAGCACAAAGTTAAAGAGAGAGAAACAGATGCGCTGTTTTTGCAAAACCAACACCAACATGAACAGAAACAAAGGCTCCCTGCTCTACAGTACGTTAACGTCCGTAGCAACTCCACAACTCGGGATACACGCAGGAAAGCACGAATACGACACAAGACACAGCGCCAGGGCAACAGCAAGAACGTCAACATGAGCTGACAAGCAATCGGAAACATATTTTTACTCAGTAATTAAGACAATTTTCGTCCTCCTTGAACGTTTGCGCAATGGCCAAACCCTCGCACGATCTCGGTGGAGCGTGTCCCCCCCGTTGTCAAAACACGCGGGGAAAGGAAAAATGGAAAGGCACTAGATTACACGGGCAGCGATTATATTGTTGGCGTTTTCACCCAATGTTCGGGACACTGTGAATCCCCCCCCCCCCGCAATGGTAGGCACACACACGTTCTAGATTTTGGGATACAGATCGTACTATGCATACAGTCTTGGTCTCGTCACCCATAAGGACGCCTCTTTTCGCTGCGGCGAGGACTGGTTTAGCGGGAAATGGACCTGGGTCGCAGACGTCACAGGGCTTATTGTCTACAGCCCCAACAACAATGCACAACATCAACCACACGGCTTCTTTGTTTGTGAGCCAAAGCACCAACCATAACAACCAACATCAATGCACGAACCATAACAACCAACATCAATGCACCAACCATAACAACCAACATCAATGCACGAACCATAACAACCAACATCAATGCACCAACCGTAACAACCAACATCAATGCACCAACCGTAACAACCAACATCAATGCACCAACCGTAACAACCAACATCAATGCACCAACCGTAACAACCAACATCAATGCACCAACCATAACAACCAACATCAATGCACCAACCGTAACAACCAACATCAATGCACCAACCGTAACAACCAACATCAATGCACCAACCATAACAACCAACATCAATGCACCAACCATAACAACCAACATCAATGCACCAACCATAACAACCCTGGACAGGAACCGCGCCCAGCCGAACCGCATGATGTGCCACAACGGCGAGATCAACACCCTGCGCGGCAACAAGAACTGGATGCACGCCCGCGGCGGCCTGCTCCACTCGGAGTACTTCGGCGACGAGACGGCAAACCTACTCCCCGCTTGCTCGGACAACATGTCCGACTCTGGTAACTTCGACTCAGTGCTTGAGCTCAGCGTCAAGGCCGGCGACCGAGAGATCCCGGAGGTGTGTTTGGGTTTGCTTGCGTGCGTGCGTGTTCTGCACCACACGCCCACGTTTGCGGGGATGTTTGAGATGTGTTCGTGCATGCTGAGTTGCGTCCACGTATGTATCTCGTGCTTCACATAGGTTGTGGGTTCGCACGGGTCGTGCGGTGTTTGTTTCCTTCGAATGCCGCTCTTGTGGCTGGGCTCTTCCATTTTGTCTCCGATCATGCAAATGGAGCTATTTTCATAATTGACGTCTGCGCATCCTGTCTAAAACTCACAATCATACCCCCCCCCCCCCCCCCCCTCTCCTGTCCCTTTTGCTTGGATGCATTCGTAACAGGTGATGATGTCCATGGTGCCGGAGGCCTGGCAGGACAACCCGTTCCTCTCGGACGCCAAGGCCGCATTCTACGAGTACAACTCCTGCAGCATGGAGCCGTGGGACGGCCCCGCCATGATGGCCTTCACGGACGGCCGCTACATCGGGGCCACGCTGGACCGCAACGGGCTCCGCCCATCCCGGTACTACGTGACCGACGACGACCGTGTTCTCCTGTCCTCTGAGGTAAGGGGGAAGGGAGTTGTTGTTCCATATGGGGACTTAACAGTGGTTCGGGGGTGTTCCATGTGTCCCTTGAGCGCTTGGGGAGGGGGGGGGGGGGGGGGGTACTTCAACATCACATACACAATTTTTGTACACAATAAACCCCATCATTTCAAAATCAATAAGTATTACTACTGCACTGCAAGAGAGGCATAAAACTGTTCTACTTTATTTGAGTTCATCAGCTGTTTTTGCCTGTGGTTTATCTTATGCTGCCGTACCTTTATACCGGCTCTATTGTTAGGCATCTGGATATGGATCATCTTTTTTTTTTATTGATTTTGGAATTAAAATTTTTTGTGTGGAA